CCCTTCTTGATACATCATATCAGAAGGCACATGCTATTGATGTGACTTATCACTGACACTATTAACCTTTATCATCTGACGGAGACTGTTTTTGCCAGGTTTTTTTAAAACTAGACTTCATTAAGTCAAGTAGGGTGGGGAGGATATTTATCTCTCCCATTTGAAAAAGGAGAGATCTAAATAATTTATTTGGAATTCATCGATAAGAAAGATATGTTTATTTAAATACGGACTCACATATATTTAGTTTATACTTTGAGTTGTAATTCAATACTGCGTTATTTATTTTGTTGCATAAATTGTTCCAGCTTTGTCATTGGATGCTCTTTCAGTTGGCTCCAGTGTCCCTTTGACATGACCCAATTAATTCCTACTTAAGATGAAGAAACTAAGGCTCAGAGAGGTTACCTTATTCAGTTGTGGTACTTTCTTTGATTCTAGATCTCTGTTTCAAATCATTACATGTGCATGTTTTGAAGTATTCAAGAAAACCTATGCAGACTAATACAGGCTAGAAGGGTTTAAGATACTTTCTCTTGATCTTATCCAAAGGCTGAGAAATGATTCAGTATACTTCCTGCCTATCCTTCAAGGCTCCTCTCAGATGCCAACTTCTCCAGGGGGACTTTCTTATTCTTTCCCTCTTAGGAATTAGATGTAAAGATGTGATATTTTTCTTCCTTAGACTCACTATATCACTCTATTACATTCGACACACTACCAATTATTATAGTTATTTATGTACTTTTTTTTATCCCTGCACCAGTTTTCAACTCTGTAAGATCTGCACTATAAGCCCTGTAAGAAGAGGTGCACTTTCTTTTCTTTTCTTTTTTAAAAAGAGAGAGATTTTTGCTATAGGGTACGTGCACTCGCTGGAGAGAGAGAGAGACAGAAAGTGAGAAATCACACCCAGTGGTAATGATCATGACACAATCTCTTCTCCTCCATTTTCCTCTCGGGAGTTTGGGCATGCACGCACATGCACCTGGCGTGAGTTTTAAACTGCTGGATCTGGGACTCAAACCGTGGTCAACTATGTTGGAGTCCTGTAACTTAACCATTACACCATCTGCTGGTCCCAAGGCACTTTGTTTTCTTAACCGTGTTTATATTCCTCACAGTATCTATCAGAGTCTTGTATATAAATCCAGAAAGCATATGTTAAATTGAGTTGACAAGGAAGGGTGGATTTCATTGGTGAAGAGAGGATTAATGAGTTTATAGAACAATGTTGTTTTGTTTGTTAGCTCTCTTTAAACTTCTAAAATGGGTTCCACTGTTTCGAGTCTCTGTAGGTATTGATTTCAGATTTGAGTCCGGGCCTACTTGGCATAGAAACATTCCAGGCCAGATTATAACTTCTCTTTTTGGCAGTAGTAGGCAACATCATAAAAGAGACTACATTTATTTTGAAAAAATATTTTAGAGAATATACCTAGAAATTCATAAACAACAAGAGCCCAGAGCAAAAGGTTTTAAGATATTATAGTGTGGGTTTTGGGCATAAAATGGCAAGGATGGCTGCTAGGAGAATTGGAAAGGTCTTTGTGTGATGTTCGTCATTCATGAGCAAAATGCGTTTCATTAACTCATGATCTTTAGCTTCAAATATCTCTTGGTACTTTCTTTTTTTCTCTCCAAATACACTCACCTCCAGTCTTATACTCAAGGTCAGCATTCCCCTTGCCTTTAGACGTGACGATGTAACATTTGTAGGTGCCAGCATCTGTGAGTTGCACATTTTTCAGCCTCAGGGAGGCATTGCCAACTATCACTTGATCAGCAAATACTGCTGTCCGGCCTCTGAACATATTGTTCTGGTCTGACAGGTGATCTTTTCCTTCTTTGAACTCATGGACCAAGCCAATTACACCTTCCTTCAGCCATTGTATCACGATATCAGAAAGTCTGATGTCAGGTTCAAAAGTGCAGCTCAGGATTCCATCCTCCCCAATGTTCCCAGCTGAGGTGAGAGTAGTAACTGTGATGGAGTGTCTCCCTGCAATTTAGGAAGCAAGGATCAATGCCAAGAAAACACGGGACTTCTACAACTAAACCCTTCATTTCTAAAAGCCAAACACAAACTTCTGTGATAAATTAAAAATATGAAAGTATAGGAGAGGTATTTTTTAAATTACTTAATTAATTTTATTTATTATTGTTATTATGTTAAAATTTGCTATAGGGCATGTGTGTTCACCAGAGAGAGACAGAGAGGGAGAGTGAGATAGCAGGCTGCTAGGTCCAGGACTCGAACTGTAGTCAGCCATGTTGGAGTCTAGTGCCTTAACCACCATGCCACCTGCTGGCTCCAGGAGAGGTTTTTTTGTTTTTGTTTTTTTGAGAGGTTTTTGCTGTAGGGTGCGTGCATTCACCAGAGAGACAGAAAGCGAGAAATCATCCCCCAGGGGGGATGGCCACGCTGCAATCCCTTCTCCATTCTCCTCTTGGGATCTTGGGCACGCATGCACATGTGCCAGGAGTGAGTTTAAGCCGCCGGGTCCGGGATTCAAACCATGGTCGACTTTATGGGAGTCCAGTGACATAGCCATTACGCTAACTGCTGGTACTCAGGAGAGGTATTTTTAAAAGGAAGACAAGACTAGAAAAAGGAGGAAGACAATAAATTTGATATCTATAGTAGATCTTCCATGCACAATAATTTTTTTAAATAATGATTTTATTTTTATTTATTCATTCTTTTTAATTTTTTTAATTTGACCAGAGAGAGACAGAGGTTGAGAGTGAGAGAGAGAGGAAGTGAGAAAGCAAGCCACCAGATTCAGGACTTGAACCCTGGTTGGCCATGTGGGAGTGTCCAGCGCCTTAATCACCACGCCACCTGCTGGTCCCTATGCACAATAATTTTTGTAAGACCAAGAGACCCAAATTTGGAGAGGAGACTTTGGATTTGTATTTGAGGTGAAAATTCAAGTCTTGGCTTTGTCACTTAATAGTCATGTGACCTTGAATAAGTTATGTAACTTTTCTGGAGATCAGAAAATTGGAGGTAACAATATTATTCTTACCTACCTTAAGGGTTCTTGTGAGGATTATATCAAATGTATGTGAACTTGATTTGCAAAATGTCATTGCACATATAAAGTATCAATATTTTTATGTAACCAGAAACAGCACAGAAGTGAAATCGCATGTTAACAAAATGTGGATAGTAATTCAGAAGAAAATTAAATTCTAAAGTGCTGTTACCTTTATCTTTTTTCAAATGATGAAAAAATTAAGCATAAAAAAGCTAAGTGGCTTGGTTAGGGTTACAGTACCAGCTATGGCATAAGAATGAATGGTGTGGGCCAGCTAGTGGTGGGGTAGTTGAGGTGTCTCAACCTACATGGCCAATTGTGTGGTTTGAGTCCTGGATCTAATGTCTTGAGGGACACCAGGCACATGTGTATGTGTGCCTAAAATCTTCAGAGGAGAATGGAAGAAAAGGGATTGCAATGTGGTGTGGCCCTCTCCCCAAGGCCTGGGGATGTGCTTTTCACTTTCTCTCTCTGTCTCTCTCTAATGAGTGCAGATCTCCTTTAACAAAACAAAACAACCACCCCCCAAATGATGTATGAGAAAAGCCAACAATTTTAAAAAGGGTAATCAAGAAAGAACTTATTAATACTATACTATATGTAAACTGGAAAAGGAATTCCTAGTCTGACCAATGGAACGAAATACAGAAAAAAAAAATGATGGTGTTTAATTCAGTTGGTTTTTGGCTTAAGTTAGAAGCCATCCCCTCATTTCTGAATGTACTACCAGTAGGAATACTGATTTTCGTATTCAACTGCCTCTGCTCCACTTGACAGCCTATTGCCCACCCAGTTGGGGAAGGATCATCCAGCTGTTCTTTGCATAATGGAAGCTGCTCATTGAGGGTGTCTGCAGGGGTGACTTACTGAACTGAATCTTCTTGAGAGGTTCCTTTTGTGGTTTGGATTTGAAGCTAGGGAGAGGATAGTTTTGCAGCCCAAGAGAGGAAAGTTGTTGGAGGGAGAAACCATGAAAGAGAAAGATGGAGAGTCCTCCATCCCCAGAGCTGTCATGGACCCTAAGGGTGTTCAGGTCTAATTCCAGTCCCAATTTCTGCATATCCTTTAAACAAACATATTAAAATGACTTGCACAAGCCTCTCTTCTGTACAACCAAAATAGCTCAACATGGTGGGTCTTGAGCACTTCTCAACTTCTAAGCTTTATTATTGGTATTCTTGCCTTTCATCTTTGTCTCCATCCAATCCATTTCACATGCATTAATCTTACAGGCAGACCATATTAAAGTATAATCTGAACATGTCTGTTTTCTGATCACTCATCTTCCAAGGCTCCTAAGAGCTGTGGAATGAATTTCACATTTCCCAGCATGGCTTTCAAAGCTAGACACTGCCTGGCACATAGTATAATGCCCCACAGATATGAACTCTCATTGCTATCTCTGCAACCTCATCTCTCACTATATTCTTTCATAGTCCATCCTTTTTTTTGTATCAAATTATTTGTTAATTTTCCACCTTCACTTAAAAAATACACAAAGCATACATGTTCTTTTTCAAATGTGAGAAGAAAACATTATGAACACAGGGATATCTTTGGCTCCTCTTTTCTCCCAGTCCATTAGGGGTTGCAATTGTCTAATTGGCTCCTAGACCTTTATAAAGTAGATGAGAGTAATGAATGAGGGACAGACCTGGGGAAGGTCTACCTATGGGAGGAAACGAGGCTACTGATGGAAGAAAAAATATAGCTAGAAAGAGGCAGAGTAAACAAAAACAGGCTCAGGCCTGAGTTGGGAGATATTTCAGAAGCTTGAGAATATGGGAGAAGAAAGAATCTGGGAGTAGCTGCCACATTCATGTGAGAAATTTGGGAGAAAAATTATGAAACATACTCCTTTGCAAATGCAACACGCTCCTGTTCTCTGCCTTGACATTTTCTGGAATACTTCTTTAAAGATTCAGTTGTGGGGCCAGCAGGTGGAATAGTGGTTAAGGCCCTGGATTCCCACATGGCTGACTGCAGCTTGAGTCCAGTGGCTTGAAAGTCACACCAGGCATGTGTGCGTGCATGTACAAAATCCTGAGAAGAGGATGGGGGAGACGGGATTGCAGAGTGGCCATCCAACCTGGGGAGTGATTTCTCACTCTTCCTCTCTTGTTTCTCTGTCTCTTTCTGGCAAGAGCACATGCCCAATGGCAAAACAAAACAAAACAAAACAAAACAAAATGCAGTTTACTTTTTATTTATTTTTTCTTTCCAGGCTGATGTCCAAAGTGCTCCAGGCTCACCCTCTTGTTCAGTTAATCTTACACCTACAATTCCTAGTTCTTTCCTCTCATTCATCACGTTATCCAAATCCTGCTTAAATTCTAGTCTGTTCAGATGGCAGTCCCCCATGAAAACTTCTTTTAATCTACTAAGGTGAAATTTATGGGTTCTCTCTTTACCCTCCTTTAACACTTCTTTTTTCTTTTGGCCTTTATTATAGCAACTGTCTCCCACTACCTGGTCTGTAGTCTATCTCTGGCACTAATTTGTAAGCTTTTCAAGGGCAGAAACCATATTAGTCATATCTTTAAGTCCTATAGTGCCTAGTGCTATGCTTCCACAGAGAAAAATAATATTTTCTGAGTGCATGAATAAATGAATGAATAAATGGAAATTAGTAGAAATCGAAGCGCTGTTTCAGATAATTTATCCAAAATGATTGTAGGAGTAAGGAACATTTGGCAGGATTATCACGTGTAAATGTTGGGGAATGATATCCAGTGAAAAAGAATGCAATAAAAACACAGATTCTCAATAAAATCATGGAGCAAATGTAACTATTAGAACAAGGGTAAATTTGATTTGGTTTATAAAGTGCCATTGAAGTTGAATTGAAAAATTACTTTCAGAAAAAATACATGATTAGCACAGTTTATAGAGAGAATGAAATGATAATGACTTATCTTAGCTCAGTTAATTGTGTTACTGAATTAATTTTAATGTGTTGGCCTTGAGCCCACAGGTAGAGAATTTGTTGAAATAGCTCCTGGAGAACTTAATGATTAAAAGTAGGCAGCTGTGGAGTGCTCCAGGGACCTGCTGCAGGTTCTAGTCATTTAAGGATGTTGATTAAATCCGCCCTCCCCCATCAATTAAGGAGGAAGAATAAAAGCCAGTGAGAACTTAAAAAAACACAAGAGAGCGAGACCAGCAGATGGCGGAATGGTTGTCACTGTACTCTCATGTAATCCACTACGGTTCGAGTCCCAGACCTGGCAGCTTTCAAAACTCATGCTGGATGCCTGTGTGTGCATGCCCAAGATCCCAAGAGGAGAATGGAGGAGAAGGGATTGTGGTGTGATCATCCCCTCCTCCGGCGGGGGGGGGGTAATTTCTCACTTTCTCTCTGTCTCTCTGGCAAGTGCACATGCCCCCATGGCAAAAATCTCTCTAAAAACCCCCCAAAAAACCTGAGGACCTAGCCATTACTTTGTACCTAGAAAGCAGTCAATAAGTACTTGTTTACTAACGGGACAAATGATGGTTAAATGTGATAAATGAGATTTAATTTGTAAACAATAGCATAAAAATAATACTTATTAACAAAAGGAGTCTGTATTCAGACTTATAAGTATTAACACAAGGAGCCTGATATGACTTTCCAGGCCTCTTGACTACCACAGGCTTTTGTGTAATTTGGTGAGTCAAAGGACAAAGGGGCCTATGGAGATGAATTAGCGGCAGCCATCTTTTGATATAGAATTCTGCTAAATGGGCACTGATTTTAAGTATTTCATTGGCTTCTGAGATTTCATCAAACCCTATAAAGCCAGAAGACCCAGTCATTTACTGAAAATGAATTATCTAGCTCTTGAGGGCTAATTACAGAGCTCTGGTCTTCATGAAGACAATAGGGGCCATGGCAGGGGAGCAAGCTGAAATCTGAGCAGCTAAGTTTTCATAAGGGATGAGTACTATCCCCTTTTTCTTCCATTGTAACAGCAGG